CAGCACCAAAGTCACTATGTTCGATACGAATGTCAAGATAGATCTTTCGTATGGGGCGGAAACTTGGAGAAACATGAACATCATCATATAGAAGATACAAATGATAAATATCAGTTGTCTACGCAAAATACTTCGAATATGCTGGGTAAACACTATCATCAACAACCTACTGTGAGAGAGAACATGCCAGATTCCAATCGAGGAAGAAATCAGGATAGAATACACATTGTGGAAAGCACCCAATTACGTCACAAGACAAGCACCCACCTGGAATCCTCATGGACAACGGAAAAGATAAAAGCCAAGTAACACGTTGTGCCGTGAGAACGAGACTAACATGAGACCAGTGAACAAGAGTTGTGTGGAACTACAAAATAAGACTCAGCGCGGAATAGATTGAAGAGTGTTGGTTAGCGACCTGTGCTCCTTTGGGTTGGAAGGCGTAAGTAAATGAGTAAGTAAGCAATTATCTGACTCCCGAGGTACACGTTGATGATAGTGCTTGGATTAGTGGAGCTAAGCGGTACTTATCGGATTTAAGACCTTTAACACCTATGGTATAGCCGGGACAGTTGTAGGATATTTTAGTGTGTTCAGAAGTATGTTGAGCCTATATGGCCAATCCTTCTAAACAAACTATTTGACCCTGTCAATTACCTTCTCGAACTCTTGACTTTTTATTTAAAAGTATGCGCATTACTTATTTCGCTTATCAAATATCTACCCTACATTTGTTTGACTACAGATACTTAGTTTTATCTCATCACATTCAGTTTGCTCAGTCACCTTCTTCTCTTTGCACTCCAGCTTCTTATCCTTGTTTCTGTCCGCGCGAAATAAAATCGTCCAACTGAATTCGTGTTTTAGTACTCATTAACACCATCGCACAAACGCCTTTCTCCGAAGAACAAATTTACACTCTTAGTCCATTAAAAACGAAAACATTACATTGAACACTCTATTTGCACACCATCTTTGAGTCCTGACTTCCAACGCTCCAGCCTTCTTCCATTCCTGTTGTTGCTTCCTTTACTTCCTGTCGGTACTCCATTTACTTCTTGCTTTTGCTCCATTTGCTTTCCGTTTTCCTCTAGTGACCGTGAGAGTTCTTCTTTCACGTCCCTTCTTTTACTACTTATATCGTCCGTATAAGTAGCACATACCGCACTTATACTTATAAAACGGATATACTGACACACATATACAGAGCCTTTACTTTCACGATCACAACGCTACTGGTTTAATAGACAACGTTCATTGTTATGACTAGTTGTGTCAGTGGTTGTTTTACTGATCTTCTTGTTGATTCGAACTTCGACACAATACTTTTCTATCGCATGGTCACCATCTGGTTCCAGCAGCTCTGTACATTTTCTCCCGTTGTCTCTGGCACACGAAGTAGCCAGCGAATATAGCACTACATCTGGGCTTTCTCTTATTCCCTGTTTTCGGTTAATGACCTGGCAACAAGTTAAGACCAAAACGTAATTAATTTATATTAGTGTTCAAAGACAACCACGACGCCAACTACTACATTTGGTGAGCTGACGTAACTACATGTAGAAAGCCGATTTCGGTCAGTCTATAATTTATTTGTTCTCACTTATTGTCGCTTTTCTCTATTGATATTTTTTATTATATATTATACTCGCGACTAAGTCTCATAATGGTAGGTAATCACAAGAATTCTGAGGATATAATAGACTCCGAGGTACAGTTTTTCACATTTTCACCTGTCGCCTTCCATTAACTCCAGGTTGATCGTTTATTTCACGTGCATGATTATCGCAGTAACGCTACACACCCATTATTCACAGGTGCCCAAGTTTCTTTCGTATCATCTGGTAGCAAGTCTCAAGCCATAACTCGACTACGGGCCACGAATGGCTCCGTCATTCCTACCCACGTTGCACGACAGATAAAAATCAGCCTGAGTACCCGAAGACACTATCTGTGGACGTCCATCTCCGTTGATGCTCCCATAGCCATACTCGGTATTTCTTCCCAACAACATTATAAATTGGTATTCGATTCACGTAGGCTGCATCTAATCGATACATCGTGAACTAATAAATTCAGGGTTCTTAAAGCTCAAACGAATGTGTACCCAATCACTAGTGTATTTTCGCATGATAATTTATTTCATGTTCTATCTGATAGGTTCCTCCAGTTACCTAGATGGAGGAAATTCCTTCAGTGATTAATTTAGTGGTAAGCCACATCGTCACCGACGGATACCCCAGTCACGAGTCATCGACTGGCACCGGAAAAATTAATTTTCCCTAAGCGTGAGTGCGACAATTTACGTGCTACCCGCATTACTTCATCTTTCTCACAGTCGTTGGGCCCTTTCACGTGATTTTCCATCAAGAAGAGACTCTCGAAGTTGACCGTCATTGCTACGTCGAGATAGTCAGCACTGGTCGTCTCAAGTCAGCACATGTCAATGACAGTGCCCTACCTGATAATTTGAGACGCAATGCTAGGCCCGTCCAATCTACTAGCGGTATCCCTAAATCTACTTCGGACCCCACGCTAAATACCACGGAGACCTCATTCTCAAGTCTCCATCAGTACCATGCCCAACAATAAGCAACGATTAGAGCATAGGATTTTACCCCTAACTATTTCGTTTCTGCTCATTTTTTACGTTTTTACTTGCGTTTTTTACTGAGCTTACCCGATCGATTATTGTCCTACTGGTGCCGTCGACTTCAGTCAATCTTGGCAACTGATGACCTGATTACCCAGGCCCTCGCCAAAGTGTTCGGTCAACGTACTGGTTCCAACTACGTCTGGCACACATTTGATCCCCAACCTGGTTATTATGGTCGCTTCTGGTTTCTCGGCTCAGCATGGTTTCATCCTACGTCTGCAGCATTGTTGGTCCTTGCTCGTTCGAACGCTATCCTCAGATTCCGGATACGAGCCATTCTGAAGTGACACGCCAACTCGAGTGCCAAACATTGCACGTTACTCTAGGTACCGTTCTACGTTGACCTTCAGCTACATACACCATCATGGACCGACTCCTTTTTGTCGACTCTCACGTCCCACAACTGCAGTTTTGCCTTTCGATCCCAGGAACTAGGCCACTACGTATCAAGAGTGTCGAGGGCTCTGTAATGACTCCACTTTTACGCAAAGAACATTCATCGTCATAATCAATTGTGCCAGTGGTTGTTTTACTGAACCGACCCGATCCACTACGCATGTATCACAAAAACATCTAAATAGTAGTAGAAGACGTTTGCAATGCAAGTCAGTATTTTCGGCACGAAGTAAAACCTAAGTGAAAGGATAATCTGAAAATTTCTTCACATCATTCGATTGGAAAGGATTGTTAGTTCGTTGACCTTTGACCATGTATCGTACCTAAATTTATTCAGTTCACTTATATTTATGTTTCTCAGTGGTCGTCCTTCCACTTCTAGCAATATTTTCTTCATCATTTTGATTTTCTTGATAAGCCATTGACTGCTAGGCTGTGTGTGACTGAACTCAAGGTTGCGTTATGGTCCCTTGAATGATTGTTGACGTTTAACTATCTACCGGAAACGGTTGCTTGGATTCTTGTAAGATCATCGTAATTCCGTCATTTTTGAAAAACTCTTGTTCGTTCTCCGATACCGAAAACATATTTAATCATTATTCCTTTCACTACTACCTTGGTACTAGCTTCGATGGAATCATTTGACTGTATATCGTAGGCTGTACTACTTGAAGTACCTGGCAGTTTCGATGTATTTTGTTTTCTGTCTAATGGAGCACAGAATCTCTGTTTTGATTTCAATGAATGCAAGTCACTTAGAAACGGGTTGTGTTCTACACAGAAGAAACTAGTTTTGCCTGACAGAATTATTCTCTGTTTGTCACCTCTAAGTTCAGACCAAATACTAGTGGTTTGGTTGTTACATACAATATCCTCTTGATACTATGCAACACCATCAAGACCGATAATAATCTTAATTATAACCTTCGCAGGAGAAACCTATTATCCACATTGTAGGAATGTGTCCAGGCAGTCTAAATAGTACAACAATAATAATTAGTTCACCAGAGGTTTCATCCAGTGAAATTTATGAATACTTATCGTTTAAGTCTATTTTTAAAATGGACGTAGTAAAAGATATTCAATGTTCAACAAGGCGTGTTTAGGCTGTCAATCCAGTCACACCAGAAATCAGGAATGCAGAAGATCGAAGGCGCATTCAAAAGATAACTTGAATATTGAAAGGTCAGTGTACTAAGCCGTTTAGCCACCTTGAGTACCTGCGTAGCATGATATACTCAACCAAACATTGGTAAGAAAGCTTGAGAATCAAATGTTTAGTATTCTAATAACCACGAATCTCGACAGTTCGGGGTTATTAACTTCACGAAACTTTCACGCAACCTGTTTCTGAGACACGTTTTCACTCAGCCGTGGAGTCTATGTTTTTGCGAAGCGATCCCGCGTATTGACTTTACAGCAGCTCGTTTCATTCTTATGGTTTCGAAACAACGAGCTATGATGACACATAGATTTCGCGAGAAGGTGGGATAAGGCATACTATATTTCTCTGAAGGCTATTCAGTGTTTTAGTTACAAAATCTGTAAAGTTTATATATTAGTCACACTGACTGAAAAATAGTGTTTAAAAGAAGAACAACTGCCAACTGACTGAAATTAGGCAGTCGAGTAGCTGTATCCCCATACACTAGACACTAACAAACACCCGAAAACGTATCTAAAAAACAAGAATGTAACTAAAAGAAGCCCTACTGCCTGAAACAAACGTTTTCATTTAAATCCTGAGATATACAAACTCACAACCAACTGCCAACTGACTAGACTTAGACAGCCGAGTGGCTAGACCTACATCCATTGGACATTACCGAACACCTGGAACCGTACCGAAAGAACAAGAATCGAGCGTAAAGAAATCAGCTGGTTTACACTAGCTCGTGAAAAAGATATTGGATATTGTACTGGTTGGAATATTGGAACCGCAGTTCTTAAATACCTGCGGTGTGACAAAATGGAAAAGTAAGGTTTTAAAATACACTGTGATAAGTCTTGCGAATCTAAAACTCCCAATCAAAGTATGCTTTATTATCTGGCTGGCATTTAACATGAAATACATATTTAAATGCAGTTCATATCTTGAGTATGCTCAATCTGAGGGGCTCTGTAGACAACCTTGAAACTTCCCCATAGAAAGTGAGACGATGGGTGCGCTCTACAAAGGATATGTTTGATAAAAGTAACTGAAAACTAGATTCCTCTGGGTTTTATCACTATTCTGCGGCATTTAAATCGCTCAATTCCGTTCCACTTGTGTTAGTTAAGCCTATCCGTATGATTTATAATCGCTCCCTCTGTGGGCCCTCTTAAATAATGTAAATGATATTTAACTATCACACTCATTACTAACTTAGTTACTACTTGCAGTTATTAAGCTTTCCAGTTTCTTTAAGAGTCCATCTTTCAATCCACTGTCACTAACGTTCCCACTAGCGAGTATACTTTAGACGAAAGATTTCTGTATGTTATTTATTTTGGCCAAACAAGTATCTCTTTGTGACAGACGAAGTAAATGGTTTGTATTGAGATGGATCTGTTGAATCCACGTTGATAGAATTTGTTGTGGACCTACCATAGCATATCAGCCATTTGTATAACAATTTGTCAGCTTGTCATCTTTTGTAACTACCATACTAGAAAACAACGTATGTTTCTTCCAATTTCATTGTCAGATAAACGTATTGCCAGCTCTTACCGTTTTATGAGGCATTTAAGAAGCCTTGACCAATTGATTAAGTATTGAAACCTCATCAGTTGTGGTTGTTGGGACATGTGTTACGTTTACCCAACTACCGACCGCCTCGATGAGCGATATTTTGTGGTGTAGGAGTAGTTGGAAGAAAGCTAGGGGCAGCCAAACCAGAACATGGCACAAATCCATGAAGTCATTGAAGAGTGGACTAAGTCATGTTGATAGATGTAGACCACCTGGTTGGGGTCTGCAAGATAATAGTAAGCCATGGTTAGAGACCCTGAATGACATGGTTGAAAATCGTTTGCAGTGGCGCAGGTGCATCCACTCTTTCTGTTCTCTCAAATCCTAATCTTCTGGATTCGTCAACACCTCTACCTTTGTCTTTCCAAATTTATCTCACTGAACTATACTCCTTTAATATTATCTTCGAATCCTAATCTTCTCCAATAGCAGTAATTCTTCTACTATCTCTACCACTATGGGATTTGAATTGACAATTGCGTCTCTGTGCTAATGTGGTATGGCAACATGAACTGATGTACTTACTTTCAAAGTTCTACGTTGCAACTGACTGACTAAGGAGCCTTGATTACAACTTCCCACTTCACCAAGCACAATATTGTCACGCATATTGTCCAGTACGAATCTTAATTTCCATTCTGTCTGTTCGAGCACAATAAAATGAGCTTGAAAAAGGGATAAACTCCATTTTCACCCTCCTGTTCTCTTACGGTTTCGTTAGTTCCAGCTGTTTACTACCTCTACTACTATGGCATTTGATTTGACAATTGCATCTGTCTGCTTATGTGGTGTGGTGACTTGAACTAATGTACTTACGTTCGAAGTTCTACGTTACTGTTAATTGATTGAGTTCCAGCTGTTAAGTAACAATATCTAACATTAACAACAGTTGCGTTTATTGTTTATATTTTCTTGAGTTTATTGTGAATCCATTCTCTTCATTCCTCGGTCCTATTTGTTCCCATATATGTTTCTCATGTTCTACTTTTCATCGCAATTGATAATGTGTTCATTTGTATCAGTAGTTTAAATCTCACTGATATGTGATACCGCTAATACTTCTACTACCTCTACGGCTATGAGATTGGAACTGCTAGTTGCTTCTCTGTGCTAATGTGTTATGGCAACCTGAACTGATATACGTACGTACGCAGTTCTACGTTGCAACTGACTGATTAATGTGTAGGACTGCAGCTGATCAGCGTTTTTTATCACATGTGCATCCTTTATAGGTTGCTCAGATATTGCCTTCAGATTACGAGCATGATTAGCAGAGGTGCCTAGGGCTAGCAGTAGAATCCAGGTAGCTCGTTTTGTCTTCTTAGGGACTTTCAGCTGGATGTTGATGTTCATCTCACCTCTGCTAATCAAGCTTTTAACGTAAAGGAAGTATCTAGATAATTCACATAGAATGCATATATTGCCAAAGACACTGATCAGTTGCAGTTCTAAACGTCACTGGGAAGATTAAAACGACTAATATAAATGAATGAATCTTCACCTCAGGCGAGTAGCCATCTGGATTCAGTAGCTTCTAACTAGGCGTGGTGGCTGGTCTTGCCTATCGTGATGACCCAACTGAGCTATATTGGCTGGAACGTATGATCCTGTAGGTTCCATCATGCCAGGCGGGTCGATTAAAGAACGGTAAGACTAAAAGCAGCAACTTAAAGTTTGAAGGTGAAGTCGTACTGCCGACTGTAAAGATGAGCAGTAAGGTGTTTACATCGGGCAACCGTAATCTGCTGCGATGCTGCCTCTTCACAAAGGAAGGGGGTTAGAAAAGGTCCACCCTAAATATGTACACTTCACCTTACCTTACGGATTTCTGTCTCCAGCGATAAGGCCTTTTGTAATTGACATCCGCTCTCATACCCGTAGCAGCATACCAGACCGAACCGGTCATAACAAAACCCTTCCTACACTTCTTAATAACTTTCTTGTCTCCATGACCAACCCTTCTTTTATTCCTTTGTCACCTCACGCCGCTAATGCAAATTTTTCGTGTTCACGAAACGTCATTCCTGATCTAAATCCTCTCTCTAACGTACATGTTAGGACTAAGTGGATAACGCGCTGGTGTACGAAGCAGATTGTACTGGGTCTGAGTCCTGGAGTAAACATTAACTCTGAGATGCAGGTACATTGATCTGATGAGTCCAAAATAGGATGAAACGTGTGTCCTGGTTTCCACTGATAGCTACTATCCACTTCTGCTAATCATGATAATATGTCTATTTCTCTCATCATTCATTTAACCAGTTTGAAATGTGGTAGCTTCATCATAACATTCAAACGCTTTAGGTCCCCAACATTTAAGTATCTATACCTTTGCTGGGTCAACTTACGATGACTAATTCTTGATAAATCGTTTCGAAACCATAGCTTACATAAAAACATAAATTCAATTCACTTATCATGAAATATGTCGACGCCCAACTAATCCTTCACTATTTGACTTTGTATATATTATTTTCTGATTCGATTTAATTGGAATAATTTTTTTTCAGGACTTCAGATTCAGTAAATGGTGTTTTAAAAACGGACAAGATTGACCTTATGAATTATCCTCATATTATCGATGAGTTAGCCGAATGGTCCATAAATTTGGATTCCAAATTGTCAGCAGACAATAGTTATTCTGTTGCTGCAGATTTGTTACGTTGCCGAAATATTTCGTTATCCAGTGTGCATTCCTCATTTAATTTATCTTTGGATGACAAGTTATCGGATAATAAAGAGTCAGATCCATCTTCTCTTCCAAAGATAAGTCACCATTTATATAACTCATGGAGAAAATTGTCAGAAATAATGACTACTTGGTTTCCACCTTCCCAAGTCTTAGTCACTTATGCTCATTTGCGCGAAAATAATTGCCCTTGGCAATTAGGTTATCTTTCATCTGAGTCCGTTCAAGGGCAAGCTTTATGTCTGGTAGCAACTCATTGGCTAGAGTTAATGGAATTGCCAAATAAACTTCAAAGTTCTTATTCTTTTTCAATCCATGATTTAAAACAATCAAATGATATTACCCCACTTGAACTTATTAAATCTACTAAAAGCTTTACATATGTTGAGTCAGATATCAAACAAATTGCTACAAATCATCCTTCCAGGATAACAAGAAAGTGGTATCTCAGTTACGTAGACCCATGTCCACAGTGGCGTATAGTTACTTTTGTATCTTACAAACCCTACGAAATATTTGAGCATGAATTATCAGACAATAGCTCAAATTCAGTTTTGGATAATCTGTATTACATAACCGCTATAGGTTATAGTAATGGTTCCATTGATATAATTGACCTGTCAGTTGATGAAAGCGAGAAACCTGACATAGATCAAAATGTTCGACGTAGTCGGATTTTTATTACATCTCCTTTTACACAGTCGATTAATTCACTCGGTTGCAAGAAACCACTCTTTCCAATTATTTTATTATCCTTCATTGATATATCTCACCTTTTAGTGGGACATTTCCGAGGTCATGTGGATTTGTGGCATTTAGATTGGAAAGCGAAAAGTTTCCCAGCTCGTATGATGATGAGAATTTATCCTGTCACTGCCTACCAGACTTCTAAACCACCTCCCTTATTGGCCGCTGTATATGATCCGTCATCCAGATTGCTTGTTTTATCTAGTTTACCCAACACCAATGTGTCTAAGGTGTCCAAATCAATGCACAAAAAGCTTGGATTAACATGTTATTATGTATCCAGAAAGGCACCTTATTTATCTCTAACCTCTTCTCATTCAACATCTGATGTGATACCTGGTAGATTGGTGAGTTTATATACTTCCTGTAAAGACATATCAGTTCAATTACTATCCAACCTATTTCGTCGCAGCAGTTACCTAACTAATGATAACCAAGATGCAATCACTTCTATGGCTTTGACAAACCTCAGCACTAATTCACTCCCAATTTTCTCATCTTCAGATATGTCCAACCAGTTACTGCTTGGTAGCCTTCATTCGTCTGGTTCGTACTCTGTTTGGTTGGTCCCCTCATTTGAATTGCTGCTTTTGATTGCGAATCCTCAAATCAGTCCTAACTTTTCATCATCACCGGCAAATGAAGATTCTAATGTGTGCAGTAGACCTTTCCAAATAGCTTGGTGGGGTAGACCTTTAGAAGTAAATGAATTCTTAAATCAGGATATTCAGTTATGTGTTATTCATGAAAGTGGTTCAATTGATTTGTTAGATATAAAAAAATCTGGTACAGAATTTTATCCCAAAATAGCAAGAAAACTTAACGGTTTAAAATTACCACAATTTCCTGTATTTGCTACACATTCCTTGCTTCTATCTCATCCTGAATCCTGTTCATCTGAAATTGTACTATTATCTTCCTGTTTAAAAGAGGATTCTACAACTAAAGCTGATAGTTCACATGATTCATCTAAAACTATTTTTCATCATCGTGTACGATGTACACGATTAAAATCGACAACACATAGTGGTTTATTTGATCATTTTATACGTATGGGTAAATTTCAAAAAGCTTTAGAATTAAGTGAAACAAGTAAAGAGAATAGTGAAATTGTGTATAAACAAATGTGGATTAGATTAAGTACAGAATTTTGGAAATTTAAAAATTTTGAACAATTTATTCATTCAACACTCGATTCTATTGAAATGCATCCTTTATGGGTTATAAAACAATGTCTAGATTATTTGCCTAGATTTGTACCATTGAATGTGAACTACACCTTGCTAATTTCAAGTATTCGATCCGTGTTAAATTATGGTTTAAATATGGTAATAAACAATAAACGCTTTAATCATAAAGATAACATTTGGTATTCTGTTGTAAAAGAACGTTTCTTAATTTACTTAACTCATCTGAATTGTTTGGAGTCTATAATACAAGCTGAATTATTGTTGTTACGTCAATCATCATCATCATCTGATGATGAATGCCTTCATTTATGTTTTGTGAATCAAATAACATGTCAACCTTGTCTAGATGATATTTTAGAAGCATTCAACAATTTTCGTATTCATTCATTATTGGATATTGCTTTTGATTGGGCAAAAAATCAACAATTTATTGCATTGAATATTTTATTTGCACACTTTCCTAATTCCATTGGTTTCTATCGATTATTGATTGCATCGAGTTTATCTGAGACAATTAATCCTAATTTGTACTTTCATAAACTATTCAATTTGAATTCAAATTTACAAAACAATCAAATAGCAGATTCTATGATTCATGTTCAAAATGATGATGATGATAATAATAATCATAATTCAATTGTTGAAAATATCCAATGTCAATTTTCAATGTCATTATGTTTGACTATGGAAATTTTAAAGAATCCATTGAAATTAGTTAAACTATTATCTTATTGGTTAATTGAACGAGCTATACAAATTGATACACGTTCTGGTCTCACGGATTATGCATTAAATCTAATCAGTTTAGGTTTATCTATGTGTGAGGAAATTTTCAAAGGAACTAATATTGACAATGAAATGGAAACATGTTTAAAACAATTGAAAAAAGTTCGTCGAGATTTTATTGAACTAGCACAAGTAAGTGAGTGTGATTAATGTTATATTTGCAACAGAGGGTCTCCATTATCTGTTCACTGAGCCGCGACACGATAAGATCCACCCAAGTGTCTTTCCTTGTCACTTAGTCTACCTACTTGAGCATTGAAGTCACCAGCCATTATAACTATAACAGAGCGCCTAGCTTTTTGCAGGAGGACCGAAAGTTTTCTGTAAAATTCATCTTTCACCTCGTCTGATCTTCAGTCAGTAGGGACGTGCGTAAGCAGATACGACGAATAGACAACGGCGTGTCCCTGTCTTTACGAGTCCTTACTGTCCCGTTCAGTCGGATAGCGCACATGCGACTATCTACTGGGATCCAGTCTAGGAGAGCTAGTTCTGCCCTAGGACTCAATGCTATACCTACGCCAGCTAGACCCCGAGAAGCAGCATCAGGGCTACTGGATACATGAAGCGTAAATCGAGTTCCTTCTTTATTCTGACATGATGAAATTAAATTAATGATTTTACTAGGATCCTGTATGCGCGTTTCCGAGACGCAGCATACATCGATGGCACGAGATTCTAAAGTCCTAGCTAAGGAAGCCTGTTGCTCTGTTTGACACAATGTTCGGACATTGAATGCTCCAACAAGAAATCTAGAAGAGCGTTTCAGGAGACCAGGAATAACGTTTCGTTTGCATTAGCGGTGCGGGTTGGTAAAGAAATGTGATTAGAGTTAGTCGTGGAGATAAGAGAGATGTTAGGGTGTGTAGGGAGGATTTGATCTTGACCAATTTGGTCTCGCGTGCTGTTACGAGTATAAGGCGGATGTCACTTTCCAGCTGCCCACGCCGTGGAAGGGTATTTCTTGAGGAACCTGAAAAGGAAGCTAGATTGGTGTTGGTCTTAACGACCTGAGAACGTGGCCGCAGAGCCGAACGGACAACTGTTTGAGGCCGGTCACGCACGGCCTTTTCATGAAAGGTTTTTCTCAGCATTAGCTCCTCTGTTTTTAAAGCCCTTACCTCCGGAGACGGAAATCCGTGGGGTAAGGTGCGGTGTAACATTTTTAGGGTCGACCTTTTCTAACCCCTCCTTCCTTGTGAGAAGGCAGCATCGCTGAAGATGCTGGTTGTCCGAGGGAAACACCTTACTTCTGTCACACCTGTCTACAGTCAGCAGTACGACTTCGCCCTCAGACCTTGAGTAGCTGCTTTTAGTCTCATCGTTCTTCAATCGACCTACCTGGCATAATGGAATCTACAGGATCATACGTTCCAGCCAATATAGCTCGGTTGGGTCATCACCATAGGCAAGCTCAGCCACCACGCCAAGGTAGCAGCTTTGTTTGGGCAACCCTGACGAACACCACTTGTAGTAATGAATTTCTATTACAGTTTATCATAAGCTCTCACTCGACTAGTATTGTTTGAGTTAAGGGCTTGTATAAGGTTAATGTACTTCTTTGGTACACCCTTTAATGACAGAAACTGCCACAGAATATTTTATCGTAACAATAAATCAATCCTTTCTTGATAAAAAAAGAAAGAACATAGGCTAGTATTTATTATAGATTTTTAAATGGAAATTCTTCTATGAGTACGTTTGTCAAAGTTGTTATTAAAGTTGTACTCTAGCTTTCAATTTTCTAAAGGTGGTCTAACAATGATCTTCATAAGTCTAATTGAAAAATCTTATGCATTTTGTCTGTCGATAGTCTCAGATCAAAACCAAATCAAATATTCTATTTTGTACAAAACTAATTATTATCATTACTAATGTCATGTTTTGCCAACTTTTTTGTTTTATTTTACAAAAAAAATAATTAGATTATTTACAATAAAAATGTATGCCCAACTACAATCTTACAAATTTCAAATGATGTTACCAGCTCGATAAACCGTGAATTCACTAGTAATACCGATAGTACCAATGAAAATATCAGAGCATTTCAATTGAATATAAAGAAATTTCAACATTTCAATTCTAAATCTATCTTGACTCTTCTACTTCGAATTAATTTGAATCAGATCAACTTTGATCGTCAGCAGCATACATCATCATCATCGTCATCAACATCATTGTCGTCTGTTACATCAGATAAACTAGTTTCATTTGTTATTCAACATCTATTGCCACATTTAGCTGAGAAATGTTCACCATCTGATTATGAACAGTTAATTAATCATTGTCTTTTATATGCAGCCAATTGCATTGGTTTAACTGGTCATCAAAAACTCTTGGAATCATTGAAATTGGGGTGTTTAAATGAATATCATCATGATTATTTGTCAACTGATTTAAATAGTAATTTTGATACGAATGATTACTTAAATATTTTAAACCGTACGTATTTTTATTTTTATATATATATTATACATATGCTGAAAAATGTCTTGTGTTATGTAATGCGAGATTGCTTCTTTCTTTTTTTGAGAAAGTTGAGTTTTTCATTTTATTTTAAAATTTATATATCAGTCAGTCAGCTACAACGTAGAACTTCGTACGTACATATGTCATTTCAAGTTGCCACACCACTTTTGCACACCGAAATAGAATTATTAATGCAAATCCTCTAGTAGTGGGAGTGTAGTTAAGGAGAACACAGGTGAGGGCAACCGAATTGTATTTAACGAAAATTACAGAGTTACTCAGTAAAATAGGAAAACCATATGGTAAACGGTTAATTTGCAAATCTTCAATCCATCATCAATCCATTGTCTGACATTTCACTACTCATGCGTTTCATACAAATTCCATTATGTTCTAACTCTTCCTTTCTTGATCTTCCCCCATCTTCTACTGCCAGACATTACGTTTACACTCGCGTCATATACTACTTACTTATAAGTAACGCGCACCACATGAGTGGTAGAAGTATTAGCGATAATGGAAAAGATTAGGGTTTTAAAGGAAAAAAGTATAATCCAATGAAACAAACTTAAAAAGAGAAAGATAAAGATGATGAGGAATTCAGAAGATTAGAATTTGAGAGAGGATAAACAATGGACGCACCTACGCCATTGCAAATGATTTTGAGCTATGTCATTCAAGGTCTCTAACCATTGTTTACTATTATCTTGCAGAACCCAACCAGCTAGTCTACACCTACTAACATGGCTCAGTCCACATTTCAGTGACTTCATGGTTATGTGTCATGTTTTTGATCTAACCGCCTCTAGTTTTTTCCAGCCTACCCCTACATCATAAAACATCGCTCGTCAAGGCAGTCAGTGGTTGGGCATTCGTACTACATGTCCCAACCACCTCAACTGATGAAGTTTCACTACTTCATCGATTGACCTGTCATCCTTACCTAGTAATCGTTTCCTAACAGCAGCATTGTTTACACGCTTGTATGATGGGTACCAGGATCCTGAAGTAACAGTTGGCTTGTGAACCTGCATTGGTTACTATGTTCCATGGGATCTTGATGTTGTTTTTACAATTGATTGATCGCTAAATACTGACTAAATTGTCATGTGTATTTCAAGTCCTTAATGCTGATCTAATTCTATCGATCATGCTACAATGACACCACTTGTCCAAGTGACTCAACATCACGTACTCCTTTATGTTGAGATGTAAAGTGATGATTCACTTAGAACTACAGTTACATCCTGTTATGCTTCCCAGGTAGCACAAAACCTAGACTCAGAGTGTTGTGTTGGCTACTTGCGACCATCACTTTACCTGACACTACTCCGCTGCTCAATGATCAAAATCTTGGGAATCGGTTCTCTTAGAAAGCCATCTGCTTTAGTTTAAGAACTCTGAATGTATTCCAACATTTTCATAAATAATATAGTACTAACTACTATGTTACTTATTTACTTACACCTGTTACCCCTAATCAAGTATAGGCTGCCGACCAACGAATTATTTTCCTGGTTAGCGTTTTATCTTTTGTAGTGAGTTGGATTTCTGCGGGATAGGGTCTCTATTTGCATGCCCGACCCTCCTCCTTTATCCAGGCTTGGGATTGGCAGTATAACCTTAGAACGGCTTCATACAGAGTGAACTATTATGTATTGTTATTTAAAATGTTATATCATTGTATTGTTTTTTCTGTCATTTCATACTTATAGCATATCAACTATTGATGGGATTAATTTATGTTTTAAAAGAATATAAACTTGATTGTAGTAAAGTCGATCATCATCATCAACAACACCAACAAGAATTAACTGTTTCATTACTGTCGACTTATTTAACTGATACAAATCATTTAATTCAATCTATGCGTATTTATTGTCAAGAGAATAAAATGTCCATTTTAAAGACAGTAGTATATGAACAAGAATATGAACATTTATGCAATACTATACATTTATTCAATCAATTAATCACAGCATTAATGGAACTTGTTGCATTGAAACAATCCATTGAACAATGGATTGATCTATCGAATTATGCATCATTATCATTTCATATGATTGGTACATTTTATCAATGTAGTCAAAATGTGAAATATTTTCAAAATTTCTTAAATTATTGGATACAAATATTTAGTCGATTCATTGTGTTTTATGAACAGGAAAATGTTGTTATTATGCATGGTAGTGATGAGAATAATAACAAGCATAATCAATGTAGAAAACAATTGGAAATTTCTGAAGCAACTGTTAAAAAACTCAAGTAATCAATAAGTTGTTGTTTTCAATATTATTCAATTTGTTAAACTCATTCATGTTTATCATTTATTAAGGCGTTGGCGGTTGTTGAGTTTCATTGAAATCATGAATCTGCCAGTGTGTTAGACTATCATTAGAAACTTGGAAGTACTAGACGGCTGTATGGAACTACTGATCATCAGCAGTACGCATCCACGATCCTACAGGCGGAAATCGAACCCAGGGCCTCCAATCTTGACCGTAAACACTTAACCTGTTGACGATTGAGCCGACATCCAACCGTAATAATGTATCACTGCAACCGATCCATGATAGTGTGTGACCTCATCTAATCTCCACCTCAGTGGTCAAGAGATTGGATGTTTGCTCTCGAAACTGGCGGTCCAAGGTTCGATTCCCGCTTGTGACGTCGTGGACATGTACTGCTAGCGAATCTCATAGTAGGACGAAATAGCTGTCCATCACTTCAAGATTTCTAATAGTGGTCTAATATTGATCGATTCATGATTTCACTGAAATTCACATTTGCTGCTCAACATTATACAAAATACTGGACATAATAATTGACATACGATGATCTGATCGTATTTAAAGTTTTTAATTATTAAAATGTCTTTACGTATGTTCAAGTACTCTTTACGTTGACATAAATTATTGGTTGTAGTAAGAAGTATGATGAAGGAAAGCTAAAGATAACCTGTTGAAAACATATCATCAATTTGTAAACTCAATATCTGTTGGTATAAGCCATTTTATGTAATTTCAGCACTCATAGTTGAATTTCACGCAATAACTACCATTCGTAGTCGAATTCGTTGTGTAACATGTTTCATTATCGGTCAAAATAGTCTATATCTTCAGTCCTGACATTATTTCATACCGCGAGATCTACCTAGCAGCATCACTGCAGATTCTGGTTGTCTGAAGGAAACGCGTAACTGTCGTCACACCCCTCCATAGTCAGCAGTACGACTTCGCCCTCAGACCTTAAGTAGCTGCTTTTAGTCTTACAGTTCTTCTTCAGGCGATTTACCTTGCATGGTAGAACGTACAGGATCGTATGTTGCAGCCAATATAGCTCGTTTGGATCATCACGATACAGGCAAGCTCGACCACTACGTCGTGGTAACAGCTACAGTCGGTATTTTAAATAGTATTAGTGTGAGACAAATACCAACTACTGTTGTAAAATCAAAAACAGAAAGCATTCATTTAAAAATTCATTATTTTTTACTTTTATTTTATTTTCTCTTAGTGATACATTTTATCAATTCTACAAAATTCTTTCTAAAGCATTCTATCACTGTCCATCGGAATCATGGTTAAAAATAGGTTTACAATATGCATTATTCACTTCAGGAAATGATTATTTTCTTGAATTATCTAAAAATTTCTATTTGAATTTTAATGATTCTCAACATGTGAATTTATGCAAAACAATTGAACTATCTGATTATGCATTAAATCAATGGGGCATGTGTTTATTACATGCTATTCGTACTTATGTGAATACATCGGTACCAATAAGATCCGAGTTGAAAATGGCATTTCACGACATTCACCTATCCACAGCATCTAATCAGATTATTGATCCGAATGAACGTTTAGCACGTCATTGTTTATCGATTGTCGATTCATTACGTAATAATCGTGTAAATTGGGATGCATCGATTTTGTTGGCATTTGATAAAGAAAAATCCCTATTGAATGCATCCACTTATCTTGCAACAATCAATACAATGTTATCATCATCCTCATCGAATCAACGTTTGAATTCTTTTATTACATCACCTTATCGATTAAGATCTTTATGGTGTCATGATGAAAGTTTTCCATTTATAATGGAATCCTCTGAAAAAAAACGTATCAATTTATTAATTCATGCTTTTATGAAATTAATTGAATTATTTTCTACTGATACAACAAAATCAATATATGATTCAGTCTATATGGAAAATGTATTTGATTCAATGACATTGAATCATTTAGCTGAGAGTTTTTTAATCACTATTGAACAAGTGAAACAATGTTACATACGTTCAATGTACAATTATTTAAAAATGCATAATTCAATTTATCCTAAAGTCTGTTTATTAAATTTAACTTATAAATTTTTAAATGATTTAATTGAACATTCTGTTGCGTTATGTTGGCTTGAATGTGCCAATTGGGCTGGTTATCAATCGGAACTGTTTAATTCAGAGAATAATTTTATTTGTCATGATGATAGTAGTACTAGTAGTAGTAGTAGTAGTAATACTACTACTACTGTTGATCATTTCAATAGTAAATTATGTTCATGGACATATTTACATGCTTTGTATAATATTGAACGACCAAAATCTGATAGATCAAATAAGAAATTATTTTCTAATCTCTCTAATATTGATCCAATGGAATTATGGTCTATTGAACGATATCGTTTACATTTAGCTAGATATGCATTCACTTATTGTACATGTACAGATTATTTAAATGATTTGACTAATTTCATTGGATTTTGTATTTTACGCCTTGAATGGATTTCATTATCAATGCAAATGTTAAACAATAATAATAATAATCAACAAAATGAAAGGAATTTCAAAAAATTATCTTTTAATATCATGAAACAATTTGTAAAATATGTTTCGTCTGATTCGAAACAATCAGAAATGGCCAACACTAATCATCCTCATCATCATCAAAGTATGAAGTTGTATTTACCTCCATTTTATTCCGATTCAACAAATTGTGTATTTTCCGAATTGGCCAGCAATAATACCATGATGGATGATGAATTTGCACCGATTGATTGTTCGAATTATGGTTTTTATGAACATCGTCTTTGGTTTGTTTTTCTCATGAATTGGTCTCAGCTTGATCAAATCAATATTTTTTCTAATGATCATGATGTTGATTGTAATATTTATCATATTTGGTGTAAAACTATTTTAGAAGTAGCCAGTCGGGATACACGTTTAGCTATTAGTTATACAGCGATTGGTTCAAAATTTTGTCAATTTTACTCGAGTAATTCTGTTTCTTGTTTGAATTATATGAATGAAGTTAGCGGTGTTCTATTGCCGTTTCTGGAATTGTCTAATATTACGGAAGAATTTGATAGTACATATCGTATTGTCTTGGTACTTTTATGTTATACATTGGTGTCAATTTATGAATCTAAAAATGTTGACTATAATCCTCCCCTGTGTGGATGTTTTCCATCTGGTGAATATTTATGCTCGAAATGTTGTTTATTAATAAGATCGGAAAATTTCAATCAGAAATTTAGTAAACTTCAAAAACAACTTGTCAATGTATTTTTAATTGTTTTAAGAGAAAGTTTAATTCGTTGTCTGGTCATGAAATTTCCTAGTATTGATTTTGTACGTTTTCGTCATGATCAAACTTATCGAGAAGATACTATTTATGGATTGTGTGCAACGCATTTCTCACTTGGTCTACAACTTTGTGCATGTTATCATCTTAATCAACTTGAAGGTGTATTTTGTCGTCTTGAATGTTTGTTTCGTGATGAAGATTGTACGAATAATGATCGACTGAAACAAATGATCGCTAGTATCATCAGTCGGATTGTTAAATTGCCAAATGGATTAGAACTTTTATTGAATCGTTTGCAGCAAACCGTTTATCCATTTCTGACACAATTTTCACAAATAAAATTATTTTTTGACGTGATACCTAATGATGATGATGATGATGGTGATTCTCAGGCAATAATTGATGGCATTCAAATAAGATCACATCGAAAACTATTGAATATTTTATGTAAATTACAAATTGCCGATCAATTATTCCATTGTGTAACCTATCAAGAATTCATTAAATTTCTTCATCACTCTTCTGCATTGCATAATCATCCACTGTGTATTCATGTGAAAACAAAGTCAGATGCAGATGTTATAGCAAAAGTTGTTGAACAAATACAAGAAGTCAATGACGATGACAGTATTGACATTACATCGTTACAAGTTGGTGATATTTATGCAATATTTGGTTTAAAAGTATTTTACGATCCGACATTATTTGAATCTTTTACTGAGATGTCTGACTTATTAAAATTATTCAAATCAATCGCTCCAGGTAATACGACAAATGATGTTGCACGATTTAAAAACTGGTTGAATGAATTGTTATATGATAGTGAATTTTCAAAAGATCTATCGATTAGTCAACGTCGTTTGGTTTTGAAATCGGCACATACGTTTGTTTCAAGGTTAGTTCTGTTAGAATGCTATTTTATTTAACTCCATTGTTGGGGGTGGGGTGGTTCTAGAGATTGTTTAATGTTGTCGAAATTATTAACCAACCTAAATTAGACAACCATTGGACACCAGGAATCTCTTGCCAGTTGTTCTGTCTTAGCACAGATTTCCTCAATATTGAGTATACACAATCCCACATGGAAACGGACCCAGAACCTTTGTGTCTTACAGCGAATCCTTCAGTTATAGACCACTGAGTCAGTATCTCATTGTCTACATGTCAGACTTTAATTTTTCATATTCCAGAACCGTCTTTGGTGGGTAACTGCTGTACATGACAGTGAAAAAGTTCTAGGTTCGAGCCCCTCCTAACCCATTGTCATCTTGGTAGCTAGATAGTAGTATCTTCAGCCTTCACATAGAAAAAGTACGGATCATAAACGAGTGCAATCGATTTCATAATATAGTCATACACTTTAAGATAAGTTGCTTGGATTTTTCCCTTTTATCATAATAATAACCTTAGATGGTGATTACATGATAAAACGTCAATCAGTGATACTACTAATATTATGGGATTGTTTTATTTTAACCTTTTTATTTCTTTGCTATTTTGATGACATAAATGTCAGTCAGCTACTACATAGAACTTTGTACATGCGTACATCATTTCAAGCTACCATACCATATTAGCACACACAGATCGAATTATTAATTCAAATCCCATAGCAGTAGAGGTAGTAGATGTAATTGCGATAATCAGAAAGATTAGTGATATCTATCTATCAATATGGCTTAGATAAACATTTCGTGTCTTCATGATCTTATGCCGTTTGTTGGTCATAGTTTTATTCGAACTTATTCGTACTCTAGTCAACGTTGCATGTTCACATAGGTGATAGTCTGATGTAGAAAACGCTTGGTTTGGACTACTTTAATCTATTAAAAATTCATAGCCTTATCAATCGATCTAGGAATTTTTTTATCTCACCTCAAGATTGCTAACTCGGTCGTCTGTTGTTAATAAGCGAGTGGTGATCATGTCTCATTCACATTGGTAGAGTTTTAACAAAAAGGACCACTACGTAGTATACTCTCTCTGACTGACAGACAAATACCTACTATACTTCACAAGTATTATATTTTTTCTGGCTTGTGTTTTTTTTAACGAGTTAATTTTCTTGGGATAGGGTCGCTAACCCCCATGCCTAACCCTCCTCCGCTATCCGGGCTTGGGACCGGCAGTGACCCTAGAGGCGGAGTTACAAGTAATATATATATATATATTTGCATTACGGGGTTGTGAAGATTGTTAAGTTACACATTTTTGAAACCATGAATCGATCAATGTTAGACCACCATTAGAAACCTGGAAGCACTGGACGGCCGTTTCGTCCTGTGTATGAGGTTGCGCAGCTCCGTGTATTTGATCAAGTTAGACATTAACACCGTTAGATACCGGCTTAGTGGTCTAACGGTTAGGGCGTCCACGCACAACACCGAAGGTCCTGGGTTCGAATCCTGCGGGGTGCAGGAGTCGTGGATGCGCACTGCTTAGGAGTCCCATACCAGGACGAAACGGCCGTCCAGTGCTTCCAGGTTTCTAATGGTGGTCTAACATTGATCGATTCATGGTTTCAAAAAAAAAACATATATATATATATTAGCAAACGACACTTGTTGTTGGAAATGTTGCTTTTATAGTAACTTTTCCATCCATTTTGTTCTGTTCATTTCCCCTAACTGTTAAAATTCTTCTTCTCTTTTTTTTTTATCGGTATTTTGTTAATATCAAATTAATTATCTATGTGTGATTGTTTTTCTCTCTCACTTCTTCTTTTTTTTCCCTTGATTACAATTTTTTTCTATTGTTGTTGTTGTTTAGATTAAATAAAACTATTGTCAATTCAGAATGGAGCAATAGTGGTGTTGACGAGATGATCAATGGTTATGTATCGCATTTCGAACAAATTTTGTATTTATTAAATAAAATTTTATTTCCTCAAGAGAATAACACCAATGAAATTGATCCTGATGGGAATTTCCACAATAAATACTCTTTACCTAAGGAATTGTATAAAAAATTAATCAGTATGAAACCTAGTAATCAATTGGCTATGGTTGATTGTTTGAAAGAACTTATTTTTGGAATAATTAATAACATGGATTGTGATGAACACAATAAGAATACTGACAGTGTATCAGTTTGTTTACAAATTTCTACGAAATTACAAATTCTTGGCTGTTTACTACCTCCTTGTTTAAAAATTTTAGAAATTAAAAATGAAGTATGCATTATTATGCAAATATGTTTATGTATGTATAATGTGTATTATTGAGACCAAAGTATTGTTTTCATTTTATTTACTTCCTTATTTATTTAAACACATAAACATTGATACGAAAGAGTAGCCAAATATTTATGCTATGCACCACACAATCTAATACGTGGACTAGGATACTGCCCAAACCGAAGCAATTGATTTTCTTATAAGACAGCTTTTAACCCAAAGGTCATATCCACAAGAAGGTGGAGCAATGTCAGCCGATGCAGTTCCATCACAGCTGGTAACCAACCAACAGTCGGTTCATACGCAGTTCGCGCCACATCAGGATCCTGAAGCCAATGTGCAATAATGGCTTGGAATCATGGTTTTCTAACTCATCTAGATGGATCCTTCATACTCACCAGCCTAGTTAAAGCCTTGACCGGACACTTCCTTTTCGTCCTCTGAACTTCTTAAGCAACAGCCTTGTATTGAGAAGGTAGTGGTGAGTAGGACTTCCCTGGTAGTGGTTATGTATTCGCGTAGCTTTATGGTTGCATTTGACCATAGGTGTCTTCGGAACGTTGCTCGTATATCCTGGGATCACTGAGTAAGCAATGCTGTTGTTAGGAGAAGGGTACTATCAAAGGATGGCAGATCAATTGATGAAATAGTGAAACTTCATCAGTTGAGTTGGGTGAGACATGTATTACGAATGCCCTACCACTGATTGCCTCAGTTGGCTTTCGTGAGGTGATCGTAACTGATAGTTAGAGACTTTGAATGGCATGGCTGAAAATCATTTGCAATAGCACAGATGCATTCATTCTTTGTCTTTGCCCAAATTCTAATCTGAATTTCTCATTATCGTCATGTCTCCTCTCCTCAAATTTATTTCACTAAATTATACTTGAACAATTTGTTCGAACCTTATTCATTTTGATTACTGCTAATACTGTGGTGTGAGCTACTTATAAGTAGTATATGATGTGAGTGTCAACGTAATGTCTGGCAGCATAATATGGGGGAAAATCATGAAAGGAAGAGTTAGAAAACAATGGAATTTGTATGAAACGCATGAATAGTGACATTGGATTGATGTTTTGCAACAGGAACAGTCCAGTTCGATATGATGAACTGATATTTTTCAAATTAACGATTTACGATATGGTTTTCCAATTTTACTGAGTAACTCTGTAATTTTCGTTAGATACAATTCGGTTGCCCCACCTGTGTTCTCGTTCACTACAATACTATTAGATTTGAATCGACCATTGCGTCTCTGTGTTAATGTGTTATGCCAACTTGAACTGATGTACTTACGTATGAAGTTCTGCGTTGTCGCTGACTGACTATATTAGGATATGGTTAATTTAATCTCGATATGTATATTATTGTCAATCCCTATTTTTTTTTGTTCAAATTAAGACTTTGCTCTTTGATATGTTTTTTTTTAATCATATTATCTATAGATATGGTTAACTATTCTACAAGAAAGTTTATCTGTTTGTTTCTCAATATTATCATCAATCTACACTGTACGTTTTGAATATTTCGCGCAAATCAATTTCCATCAACATGAATTATCAACACCAGTGTTTACAACAAATACACAAATTCAAACATTATATCCACATGTGAATGATTTTCTGAATTTATTTATTAAAGAACAACAACAACCACAACCAGCGCAATTGGATGATACGTTGTTCTTTGTTGACTCTATTCAACTGTTGTCATGTTTTCTTTCCAATGACATTATTCGTCGTTTATTTGGTCAACATCTATTCAATTCATATTCGAATACTGATGATAATGATTGGGAAGAATCAAATGTTACCAATTTATTTTCAATATTTGTTAATACTATAAAATATTATTTACAAAATTCTTTTTTTAATTCAAAATTATTATCTCATTTCTATGATCAATTGTTGTTGATCAATGTAGAAAGTGATGAGATGAATGAATTTAAAAATTGTATAGAATGTTTATTTCAACAAAATGATCAGCGTCAAGATGATGTTCAACGACAAATTGACAATGGTGTTGTTGTTGTTGGTGATGATGATGATTCATTTCTTGTTATCAAAGAGAATGTAGAAATATTGCGCACGATCATTGAACTCATCGATCTCATTGTAACTGATGGTAAGTTTGATTGATTCGTTGTTGTGTATGAATTAATGTCATCTCGATGACTGGTTTCAATCCCTAATCGTCCCAATTTATAACGAAGGACAAAAGTCTTCTTGTGACAATTACAGAGGAACAAGTCTAACTAATATAGTTGCTAAATTGTTAGCCTTAATTATACGTAGACATCTAACTGGAGCTCGTGAAGAACAGACTAGAGAAAACCAGGTTGGTTTCAGACCTGGATATAGCTGTATCAGCCACATTTTCACACTATGACAGGTCCTGGAATACAGACACACATTTTGGCGTCCGACATTAGTCGTCTTCCTGGACCTTAAGGCGGAATTCGACCCAGTTGATCTTGAGGTCCTGTGGCGCAGGTGTACCAAAGAATTACATTAACCTTATACAAGCTCTTTACTCGAACACCACCGGTCGAGTGAGAGCTTATGGCGAACTATCTTCGGAATTGACTACTTCAAGTGGTGTCCGTCAGGGATGTCTACTATCTGCATTCTTATTTAACTTTGTCATTGACGTGCTTTTAGATACGACACTTGCATCATCTGAATTTTCAGGAGTTGAACTTTTACCAGGAGATTGAGTCATGTTGGTAAGTGTAGACTACCGGGTTGCAGTCCCCGAGATGATGGAAACCTGTGGTTAAAGACTTTAACTGACATGGCTGAAAATCGTTTACAGTGGCGCAGATTTATCCATGCATTGTGTTCTCTCAAATCCTAATCCGCTGGATTCTTCATCACCTTTATCTTTCTCTCTTTAAGTTTATGTCACTAGACTATACTTTTCGAATAATATTTTCGTACCATAATCTCTCCGATAACTGCTAATACTTTTACTACTATGGGATTTAAATTGACAATTTTATCTCTGTGCTAATGTGGTATGAAAACGTGAACTGATGTACGTACTTACGAAGTTCTGCGTTGTAACTGACTGAGACACTAACCGGTTAGTCTACACATACTAACATGTCTCACTCTAGTTGTCAATGACTTCATGGATTGGTGTCAGGTTTTGGCGAATTAGTTGGTTATTTCATAATTGTTTTAAGCTCATTTCTGTATGAAGTATGCACTGAATATATTTCCGGGAATAAAAATCTGATCTTTACAATTAAATCATATAGCTTGCAGCATTGAAAACCACTAAAATTCTATTTTGTCGTCTGTAGGTTAAAGCCCGATCGTCACTAGGTTTGTTTGAGGTCTGTAACCCTGCATTTATCAAATGCTGAATATAATTTCACTACACTGGAGTTCTTTTACTTTCAACAGTGAAATACACAGGGTGGGCTTAGCAGAGGCTATTGGAAGCACTTGCTGAAAATACTATTTGATTTTACTTGTTATTATTTAAGAACTGTGAATATGGCTAAATGTTTTATTCTTTCTCTAATGAAATGGTTTAATCATTCACACTCTGTCAAATGTTATTGCTTACTTGTTCGCTGTCTCATTTGTTCTGACTGCCTGAACATCCGTGTAACTTTTGCTGTTATATAAATGACTCTCCTTACTCTATCTCACTCTCTGTTTTTGATTTCTTTGTCTAATGCGTTTGGTTAAGAGTTTACAACCCAGTAGGTGTATGTAAGTGTTGGGCTTTTACAACTGAAATCTATGGTAATTTCGAATTATAAACGATAAAATTTTCTTCTGATACAAACCAGAGCTAGTGAGTGGTGACTGAGAATTCAACACTACAACGACTATCCCTTAATGCAATGGTAGACAAACGGTCATGAATTCAGGCGAAACTTAATGTTCAAGAAGGCTAGCAATAATGAGTTATATCTATGTATCTTAAGTTTCGAATGTTCATATGTTACAACATAATGATATATGTTCGAAGTCATTTTGTTAATGTGATATTAGAAGTGACCAGTGGAACTCAACCCCATCGAGTGTAGGCAGTAACTTTCGAAAACAAATGGTTGAGGTCGTACAAAATCTCTGGATTGATCAGAGTTAGACATTAGCACCGTTGAATGCCAGTAGTCCAGAGGTTAGGCTTTCGCGCGCAAAACCGAAAGTCCTGGGTTCGAATCCTGCGAGTAGCTGGAGTGCTGACGAGTTCCATACCAGTCAGAAACAGCGGTCTAGTGCTTTCAGGTTTCTAATAGTGATCTAACAATGATTAATTCATGATTTCAGTAACAATATGGTGTAATTGATTTTCTATCTTCTTTTCATTCACTTGTTTCAGACATTCTACCAGAGAAATGTGATTTCCTTCAACATTTATGGATACTTTGGTATGAATATTGTGAAAAATCCGGATTAGTTTTTATTGACAATGGTTTATTCAACTCGGAACTACTTATAGATCAATGGACAAAATTTTGTATCCCACCAGTGGAATTTGCTAAAGCAGGACTTAAAATGTTATCAGATTATTATACTACAAATAAACCGCTTCATTCTTATCCACCTACATATCAAGCTGCAATTCTTGGTGTTGCATTGATACAATCGAATTCTGATGTGATACATTCTGCCTTATCAATTTTAACCAATATTACCGACCAATCGATTATTCAATATTTAGATACCAATGTTTGTTGTTATTTTCTATGTACACATCCTAGACAATGGTTGAATTTAATCAACCAGAATTATAATTCCAATGCTCCAATAATTTATCAGAAATTATTTTCTAAAATATTCAATTCTTTAATTGATTTACTGCAATTCAATCATCATAATCAAGCTGTTGTTTATTTTCAATTAGGACGTAATATTTGCTTGTTATTACGTAATGAAGATTTATGGTTAGAAATGGCACAGATTTGTATGATTATTTATCGTATCCAACCGGGTCGAATACCAATGCAACATGTAATGAAGTTAGTCAGTGAACTGGAATTTCACGAGTGTTAAACTTGTTTAGCACCTTTTTTTAGCGAGTTGATTTTCTACCTGATTGGATTGTTAAGCCGTATACCCAACCCTTCTTCCTTTTCTTTATCCCGGGCTTGGGACCGGCAGTAGACCCAGAGGCGGGGTGCTCCAGGTGGAGTGGGAGTTAAACTTACTGATTAATATATATGTATATTTTTCTATATTCATGTCTTTCATTGAATAATCTATTTTCTTTTTTTGATGTACAATCTTGCTAATTTTATATTCCTTTTTCTTGTTTATTTCAAACTAACTTTTTATCTTGTATAAAAAAAATAGGCAACTTTTTTTTGGCTGATGTACAGTAAACTTTTTTTTTCTTGATTTTGTTGTGAAAAATTGACTATTTGTACTTTTGTACATTCCGGTTAATATATTGGATCAAAAAGAATGGATCATTTCGTGATTTCTTTTTTTGAAATGGATTGGTTTGTTGGATAAAATGGAAACGGAAACATTTTAAGGAGAATTCCTCAATAAATCGATGTTTTTGGTGTTAAGATTGTGTCGGATGGAAGTTAGTTCGATATGGACTCCTGCGTTAAATTCAGAACTCGGTTTCAGGAATTGTTCTGCATCAATGTATTTGAACGTATCGGTCAGTTCACCTAGTTTAGAAGTGTTACTAGACCACCTGCTCGGTTGATGTCTGAGGACATCCTGACACAAATTCTAAAAGTTCGCTTGACTGTAGCCAAATTTTGTTATACACGAAATATCTATCTGCTGCTAACTAAAGAACAGCAATTCACTTTGTACCTATAAAGCATGACTCTTAAAGGTTGAGTATATGCATAGGTTACTAGTATTTGATTTGTGTCTCCGACGTACAAATTTTTGTATAATGAGATCATAAAGTTAGCATTGCTTAGTTAACAAATCTTCATTAAGTGACGTAGTTTAGTATGGATTACATATTCCTGTTCACCACCTACCGCAACATGTGATGTTGCTGTAGGTGAGATGAAGACTACGGGCAACGAAACCGAAACGTTACTGTTAATCTGAACGCGATTATTGTAATCAATGGCTTTAAACAGCATAGAAGAGAACCAGTTGCAGTAGCAAAGAAACATTCACTCTTCCTTGTCATTTAAATCCTTAGTTTCAATATTACCTTATACTTTTCCCTTTTTTGAATTCATTTCTTCTCAAGTCTTAACATCTGTCTTTAATTATTGATACTATCACTACTCATACTACTTTAGGATTCTTCGTAGTAGTTACATCTCACTGTGCTAACATGGTGGTGCCTTACATATCTAATACATCTACGTTGTGTATGACTTACTGAGTTCAGTACGGTTTACTTTTATAAATACCTGTAAGGGATATATCAATCTGTCTTCTTTTTCAGGCTTCATTGAACTAAACGTTTCTATAGGACAAATCATAATGAAAAAAATAACTGAACTGGTAAAAACTGTTAATAATTACAGATAAGTGATGGCTACTGATGAAAATTCATATAATATATATTTTTAAATAACCACATATCTTCCTGAAGGTTCTATCGTGCCAGGCAGGTCGATTGGAGAACGATGAGACTAAAAGCATCTGCTCAGGGTCTGAGGGCGAAGTCGTACTGCTGAATGCAGAGGGTTGTGACAGCAGTAAGGTGTTTCCCTCGGACAACCAGCATCTGCAGCGATGCTGCCTTCTCACAAGGAAGGAAGGGTTAGAAAAGGTCGACCCTAAAAATGTCACACCTCACCCTACCTCACGGATTTCCGTCTCCTTGGGTAAGGGTGCCCACTAAGGGCTTTTAAGAGCGGAGCTAATACTAAAAAAACCTTTCATGAAAAGGCCGTGCGTGACCGGCCTCAAGCAGTTGTCCCCTGGGCTCTGCGGTCACGCACCCAGGTCTCTAAGACCAACTCTAATCTACCTTCCTTTTCAGGTTCCTCAAGAAACAACCTTCTATGGTGTGGGCAGCCGGGAATTGACAACCGCCCTCATACACGTAACCGCACGCGAGACCGAATTGGTCAAAATCAAATCCTAAATAACCATATATGCAATCGAAGACATTTTCCTATTTGTATAAGTTGCTTGGATTCGCTGACATGGTTGTGTAATTCGACCAATTCTGAACTGATGATGTATGATCTTATTTATACAATCTTTTTCACTGTAAGAAACTCTGTTCTTTTATTTTTTTTTAAACGATTTTCATGAATACAACTAGATGATAAAGAGTAAATTTGCAGTTGTTTTGTTGATTAGATTCAACTTTCTCAAACATGAATCCACTCGTTCCATAGTAACATTGTCAGATGTTCAACAAACTTATCCGACTAAGGATAATGTTATCACTTAGCTTCCTACATCAATAATAATGATAATTCTACAAATCTCAACTATTTTATATGTGAATACTTACTTGCCTATGCACAATTAGCACCTGTCCCCCAGTGTACTAGTTAGCGCTTCCATCTAAGCGTTTGTATTGGTTGGATTCAAAATTACATGGCGTATGACACATTTTCAATGATTTCCCTCAATTCATTCAGTTAATAATCATATCACTTAATCACCAAATCTATCATGTCCTAGTAGACTGAATTCAATAAATATTTTTTGCGTTTTCACTACACTTTTGTCTTTCACATCATCTTGTTCTGCTACATGTGAACAGTTTGTTGCAATGATTATCAGAAGCATTCCGTTTTTTCACCTAATAATAAAACTATTTCTTTAAATGTGTATATATACCACAGACATGAATAAATACATATTCTTTTTAATTTATTTTTCTGGGAGGTCATTTCAATTCGTTAATTTTTAGTTATCTTTGTATAAATTATTATTACTCTCAAAGTTGATATTTTCATTTAGTTTTATTGTTCATCTAAAGATTTACTCATCAATTATTGTCTTGCTGTGCGGTAAAATATACGATAATTGTAAAATATAACTGAAATCACGAGTCAATCATTGCTAGATCACCATTAGAAACCTAAAAGCACTAGACGACCGTTTCTCTCTGGTATGGGACTCGTCAGCACTGCGCATCCACGACTCCAGCTACTCGCGGGATTAGAACCCAGGACTTTCGGTTTTACGCGCGAAAGCCTAACCTCTGGATCACTGGCATTCAACGGTGCTAATATCTAACTCTGATCAATCTAGAGATTTTGCACGACCTCAACCATTTGTCTTCGGTAGTTACTGCCTACACGCGATGGGATTGCACTCCTCTGGTCATGTCTTTTCACTAGAACTCCGAGAATTTCCTCACGGAACTATTCACTAATGAGTACATTGTACCACTCTTTATCATAGACTTATGGAAATTCTTGTTTATCACTGAAGTCATGAATGAATCATAGTTAATAAATTTTTGTTTGCTTAAACAATCATTTCAAATGTCTCGATTTTGTGCTATTTATCTTTGTTCCTAAGACATTTGCAATCTCCAATTAAACTAATGCCTTTCCAACCTGATTCACTCATCAGCTACACAGTTTGAAACGTTATGACTACTAAGCTATTCGGACAAGACAAACCTAACACTGGTCACTACTTCCCTAGTAATCGTGTTGACCGACACAAGATTACTGTATTTATAGCTAAACAGATCATCCAAATCGTTTGTTGACCAAGAATATAATATAAACTCCGATAACACCAAGTACTATCTAGTTCACTTATGAAAAGAATTGTTCACTTCTATCTAGTTCAACGTACTGAACATGAACACTAAAACCCTTCGTTATAACGAATCGTAATCAAGTGTCTTGTATAATATGGTATACACATATTATTCCATATCATCATCTTACTAATATTTTTTTGATCAATAAGTATTTATTTTCTAGTAAATTTTTTTTTTAGTGAATCTTCAAAACAAACACATTTCATAATGTATAATACAAAGATTCACACATTTCTAACTATAACACACAGTCATAGGTAGATAGGTAGGTAGGTAGGTAGATGATGAAAAATCTCAAATTTATAACAACCTATAGAGAAAAAAAGAAAAATAAAAAAACTATTTCAAATCTTCTTCCAACAAAGTTTTCACATGATTTTAAAAGAAAACAAATCTCATTGAATCTCTGTGTGTGTTTGTGTTTGTGTATGAAAAGTAAACTAGAAATCATAACAAACACAAACACTGAATATATGAAGAGTGTATTATTATTATTATTATTATTATTAAACAGTATTTTCTTTTTTCTGATTAGAATAATTAGTTTGAGGTATATGAAATAGTGTTTGTTGTAATTAGTTAGATCAAGGGAGTTTTCCAAGTTTCTCTGTTTGTATTTTGTGGTATTAGAAATGAGTTATCCTTTTTGATACTTAAAACAGTTTATTATTTGCTTATTTATTTTCTTTGTTATATGTTCAATAATTTCTCAATTGTTGTTTTAATAATCCATCGACCTTGAATTATATATATATATATCAGGCTCATGTAATAATAGAGGTAAGTTTTTTTTTAAATTTGTTTTTTCACGAAAAGAAGATTACACACACACTCGCATAAATTTGGTATGATCTTAATTCTTCTTTCTTTTTTTTTGTGTTTTCTTACCACTAATCTACTTCTTTGTTTTTTTTGGTTTTGTTTGTTTTGATAAACTCGTCGACTGTGTTCTCGATTCTCTCTCTCTCTCACACACACACATACCCACTAATCTCACTTCAGTGTGTTAGAACAATTCGACCGTCTAACTGATGTTATTTATAAATTAAAAAATGTAAATTACTATTCCCAATAATTTATTGAAGCTTAGTTGATTTAATCTATAAAAAACTGATCCCACTGTTCATTTTGTCTTTAAAACTAAAATATGCTTTTGCTTTTTGCGCTGGTTATAATTAGGCATGAATTACTTACTGTTTGGTTGGCTATTTATGGTTTATACGCTACATTGTTTGATTATTTTTTGAAGAGAGAAAGAGAGAGACAGAGAGATTCGTTTTATGAAATATGTTTGTGGTTTACTACTGCAATACAGCTTCAATGTTGACTGATAATTTTCTATTTAAGCAGTGAGAAGAAAAAAATAGGTACACGAAATTCCGAGGAGGTATGTCTGTTTTAATTGTATAAACGAGTTTATCAGTAAACTGTACAATCTTACTAATTCCATTACATAAGAATTAAATGTCTGGACTTAACAATGAACAGAACTCCATCAGTGTAAATCATAACAGTGTAGTATTTTGATCAAGTCTTAAGACGAAAATTAGAATTGTCAGTCAGTCAGTCAGTTAGAACGTAGAACTTCGTACGTATGTACATCATTTCATGTTTCCATACCACATTAGCACAGAGACGCAATTGTCAATTCAAATCCCATAGTGGTAGAAATAGTAGAAGAATTACTGCTATTGGAGAAGATTAGGATTTGAAGATAATATTAAAGGAGTATAGTTCAGTGAGATAAATTTGGAAAGACAAAGGTAGAGGTGTTGACGAATCCAGAAGATTAGGATTTGAGAGAACACAGAGACTGCATGCACCTGCGCCATTGCAAACGATTTTGAGCCATGTCACTCAAGGTCTCACCATCGGTTACTATCGTCTCACGGTCCCCAACCAAGTAGTCTACACCTACCAACATGACTGAGTTCACTTGTCAGTGACTCTATGGATTTGTGCCACGTTTTAGTTTGGCCGCTTCTAACTTTCTTCCAATCTACTCCTACACCACAAAACATAGCTCTTCGAGGCAGTCGATGGTTGGCCATTCATAACATATATCCCAACTACCTCAACTGATGAAGTTCCAATACTTCGTCTATCGATCTGCCATCCTTACCTAGTACTCGTTTCCTAATGGCAGCATTGCTTACTTGGTTGTCCCACGATACTCGAGCAATGCTTCGAAGACATCTATGATCAAATACAAGTAACCTACGAATATCTTCTACTCTTACCGGCCATGTTTCGCATCCATATAGTAGGATGAAGCGAATTGCTGCTCAGTAAACTCGATCTTTAGTTAGCAAACAGATATCTCGCCTACGCCATAAATGACGTAGGCTGACAAAAACTATTGGAGCTTTCTGCATCCATGCTGAGATCTCGTTAGTCACTACGCCATCAGCGCTGATGAAACTCCCGAGATAAGTGAAGCGGTTAAGACGCTCAACTACTACACTCCCTACCACTGGTTCAGATACCGATGCAACCCAATGTTGAAGAAAGAATTTTCATTTCGAGGAGGAGAACCGCGTTCCGAATATGCTTGCATTGTTGCTTAGGGTAGTCAGAAGACTCTGCATTTTGTCAGCGTCTTCACCAAGTAGAACTATGTCATCGGCATATTCTAAGTCCATAAACGATCCTCCTGGTAGAAGGTCCATACCTGAAAAATCTGACGAGCTTAATGTTAACTCTAAAAGCATGTCTATGACAAAGTTAAACAAGAATGAAGAGAGTGGAAATTAGAATTGTAGATTTTGGTTATAGTTGTCAATAGATATCAGAGAACGTCAATTTATTGTGTCATGCATAGTAATCACTATTGTCTGTCAGAGAGTAAGTAAATGGGATAATAAGTAACGACATTATATTTATTGATAAATAAAATCTTGACAGAAAACACTTGAAAAAATCAACTCAGTAGTAGTAGTAGTATGTCATAGTGTACAAATAAAATTTTCAACAGATCATAACTAAAACTTCCAAAATCTAACATGTTTGTGTGTTTTGCTTAAATATTGTTTATTCAGGCTAGTATTGCTACTACTACTAGTAGTAGTAGTTCTATCTTGTAAGTTTTTCTGACTAATTTATGTGTTTTTTGAAAAACAAAGAAAGTTGTTCAAGTTTTTTGTTTTAACAAAAACTGAACCAAACTAAATAATTGAACATTGAAAAACAAATCAATGATAAAGTGGCAATTCCAACTCTGTCCACATCAAAATAATTATGACAATAATAGTAGAAAAAGAAATTCAATATTTTGTTTAAACGAAAAATACATGTGAAATGAATAATACTAAACTCTTTTATTTTATGTAACTACTATCTTATTGTAACGGATAAACACATCCGTTTTATATATATTTTAAACAATATCATCGGATGAATTGCCTAATCGTCCAAAATGAGATCGTTGTGTTTGCATTGGCTTGCTTTGATTAGTATCATTCGTTGACATGTGGCTTATTGTTGCCACTGATGAATTATTACTCAATATATGTTCATTGGTAACATGGATTACAGTTTGCAGTGGTTGATGTTTATTCGAATCTTTGCCAATATGATTCACTGCTTCACCATCAGTATTACTCCTAGTTTGTTTTGACCAAAAATATGGATTCATTGTTCCAGACATTGGACATTGTTCCACTGTATTTAAACAATGCATCATAGATTCATCATGCATTGATCGGTTGTTTTTATTATCAGCTGATGATGCATTGGACATAGTGAAATTGGTTTTATTTATACAAATATATGTTGGCTCAGCAGTATTGATTTGTTCAATGCATAGATTTTGATAACTTTTCCATAATTCCGCTGTTAATTCACCAGCTAATAGAATACCACAATTGGATGTAATTAAACGTATAACAAATAAACCATCTAAACCTAAATAATAATTAATAAATTCTTCAATTTTAATTTTAGTTTTTAATTCTTTATTAATTGGAATTAAATTTAAAACTTTTAAATAATCCATAATAAATTTAATTCTTGATTTAGGCCAATATATTCGATAGAACCATACAATGAAACTAATCAAATTGATACAAGTGATGAGAACATGCCAAAACCATAGAAATATGTAAATTTTCTCCAAGAACATATTCAATGGAAGTACACATTGAAGAGTGTAACTGAAATGTAAATAAAAAAAAATAGGAAGGGGAATATTAAGTTTATTTTCACTGTGTAATAAATAATACAACAGTTCATTGTTTTAAACTTCGAAAGATGAGGATAACACTAGGAAATATAAATCAACATTGAATGACGAACTCTGCCTGGGGAGTGAAATAATTGAGCGTGTTGAATGCTTCAGTTATCTCGAGAGTCTCATCTTAGTGCTGATGGTGTGGTGTGTGAAAAAATCTCAACACGGATATAGAAGACTCGATTGGTTTTTGCCAACTTGCGTCACTTATGGCTTAGGCGAGATATCCGTCTGCTAATCAAAGGACGAGTCTGCTGCGAAGCAGTTCGCTTAGTCCTACTATATAGCTGTGAAACATGTCCAGTCAGAGTAGAAGATATTTGTCGGCTTCCACTTTTCAATCATCGATGTCTTCGAAGCCTTGCTGGTATAACCGGGGATAATCGAGTAAGCAATGCAGTTGTTAAGAAAAAGGTATTAAATAAGGATGGCAGATCAATAGATGAAGAAGCAAAACTTCATCAGTTGAGGTGGTTGGGACATATGTTACATGGGCCCAACCACTAACTGCCTTGATTAGCAATGTTTTGTGGTGTATGAGTTGGTTGGAAGAAAGCGAGGGGCGGCCAAAACATGGAACAAATCCAAGAAGTCACTGACAACTCGGCTGAATCATGTTAGTATGTGTAAACTACCTGGTTGGGTTCTGCGATACAATAGTAACCGATGGTTGGAGACCCTGAATGATGTGGCTCAAATTCGTTTGCAACGGCGCTGATGCATCCATTCTTTGTGTCCGCTCAAACTGTAATCTTTTAAATTCCTCATGACTTTTTATCTCTCTCTTTCCTAAATTTATTCCTCTGGAGTGTACTTCTCGAATGTTATCTTCGATCCTAAATCTTCAAGACTACTGCCAATACATCTACTACCGCTACTACTATTGGATTTGAATTGACAATTGCCTCTCTATGCTAAAGTGGTATGACAACTTGAACTGAGATACGTACGTACGTACGTACGTACTAAGTTTTACGTTGTAGCCTACTGACTAATATGGATTCGCATTATCTGAACATTTATTACATATTTAGTGATCTGTGTATTTTTTTTTTCTTTTACTGAACATTAGACTGCATGAAGATGTAATATGAACCTAACATTCATGATTTTTATTCTTCCTACAATCCTTTCAACCTCTTTTAAAATAACAATGCGAAATCAAGTTAAGAACTAGTTGTATTGACATTTGTTGTGGTGTAATTATAATTTGCATAACACCTGAAATAATTCAGCAGCAATCCAAGTTGCTACACAACATCAGCACAACAATAAAATGAACAGCGAAAGAGCAGAAATGGTTTTGATACCAAAATAATGACATTACAAAAGACAAATCTATGAGCTGGAAGTAGAAAACTACCCCAGCAAACAATTTCATTTGTCATCCTGATTCCAATCAGGTGGTTTACATCCATCATTACGGTCTAAGGTTCAAGGATCGGTGTGACTTATCGATTTGGTAGTTTCTAGTTTTTTTTGTCTATCCTACTTCAATCAACATTACGCTTCAAAGTTTGCAGTTTTTGAGTGCAAACGGTAAATTTCTCCATAATTTCGATTGCTAAAGATACAACCTCAACTGACTTCCTGTGTATATCCTTCAAACCTAAACTCTTCACTCCGTTTTCTTATCTTTTATAAGTGGTATTTCGATGATATCTGAAATCAGAAACTTACAGTGTATGCGTATTTTCTACTTCCACAACTGTGAAGTAACAACAGAATGTTGGGCTTTATATTTGCCATTCGGTTGGTAGGTGAAACTTTCTCTGTTATCACGTGTAACGTAAGTCAGAAGAAATCCAGTCGAACTTTCTGAACCCGTGTTGAGTTCTCGCTAGCTAGCTAGCCCCAAGCAGCTGAACCAGGCTTTCAGATGAAAGAGCATGGTTAGAGTCAGATATCCTCAGGCTCGTCTCTCTTCAGATGCTTTAATCGTTTCTGTGTGTTAGTGTTGAAACTGATTCAAAAAAATTCAAAACCTTGGAACTACAGGTCATTTGAGTTTGAATACTTCTAAAATGTGTTTTATCGATATGTTATATGCTTTCTGAAGGATAATCGACTTTTTTGAAATAGGTTCAGCTGAGAACCAAGTTAAAAATACAGTTACTAGCAAATGATCATGAGAAACATCAAGACAGAAATGTTAATCAGTGATACGTTGACGAACTAGTGATAACTAAACTATTTTGTATTGATAAAATATATCATATCTATCGTTTTCAATCGGAACAGTTACATGAATAGTTACTTTTTTAAACTTAACTTATTCAAAACTACTTACACATGATTTTTGCCCAATTTCTTTGCTTCCAAATCACAAAATGTAACTCGTGGAAAATGTCCAGAATGTTGCCATTCTTGACCTTTGATTAGATCGATCAATACTTGAGCACCGTACACTGTATACTTTGTACCGATAAAATATTGCATCAAATAGATTTGTCCAATAACATTCGATAGATAGCTGAATTTCACAAACATATAGAGAGTGACTAGGAAATTCCCATGCTCTTTACCACAACATGAAAATCGACATCCGAAAGCTGTGAAAGGCGATAGTTTTGTGTGTTTTTTACCAAAACCTATTTTATTACAAAAGAAGAATACAAATGCATGGAAGTGTTTCAATTAAAGAATATAATTTATGCTATTGTAAAAGTCCACGGTAATTCCGACCAGTGAATTAAAACTTTGTGTACTACAGTTCCATCTTCAGTCAACTCATGATAACTCAGGACTATCAATCATTAGTCACGGGGATATATGTTCTATGCTTCGTATGTTTAGAACACATCACCATGGAATACCTATTAATGATTGTCATACTTTGAAGTATGCTTACTGCTTAATCAAGAAAAGACAATCACAGGTTTAAGGTCAATAACAGTCAATCAAGGTTGAGGTCAATACAATATGCTACAAGCCATACTAAGTGGCGAAATTCGAGCACTTCACTGCTTCTGTCTGAAGTTTGTGCTGATGAAGCTGTTGTTCGGAAGAACAGCGATCAGAGCTCCACAACTAAAACATCGAGCTCAAAGAACGACACTCCATCACAATCATCCACCTGAGTTTCACATTTTCTCCAATCAATCAACACACCTAATATTACATCTGTCTACAAGATACTTTCTTCTAATTTATCATGGAATTAATAGGATCATCGCATTACATAAATTCATTGACCTAATCATCAATTATTCACTTGAATAATTTCAAGTGTAATATTTCAAATCAATCAAAAATAAATTTTATCAGAAATGTAATTTTTTTATTTTTTTTTCATACAATGAAAAATCATTTTTCAACTTCAAGTTTTCTTTTCTTATGACGTATCATCAAATTTATTATTTTCGCCAATTCGATTGTTTTATAGTATTATTGTCACCGCTTAGTGATCAATCAATCAGTCGTAAAGATGTGGCAATATTCTATGCACAAGAGGTTCAATGAATTCATGTCATCATCTATGAGATATAGCATCGGCTCTTTTATGACTGGGGGCCAAACTTCACGCATAGTCTACTAGGCATCTGACGCTGTTGCTACAAAATTTGAAGAAAAAATCAGATCACAGAAGCCTGATTAAGTCTACACTTGCTTTACTGTATCCACCAGGTTAATAAATAGGAGAGACTTGTAGCTGTCAAATTTTAATTAAATACTTTAATTAATTAAGAGTTAGTTCTCCCAAAGATTTTTTTATGTCACCTTCTTTTTCTCAAGAAAACAATAAATGAATTACTACTGAAAAAACAACAGTGGTCAGATAAGTCCAATCACCGCTAGGCGACAAATATCTCCCCCGAAAACGTATCCCCTCAAAGTTTGTTATTCTATGTGTGTGTGTGTGACTACAATGTATTTCCTGTCGTCTCTTTTTGATGATGGATGATTGAAGTTGGTAATTCTAGAATTGTGACATTTTGAATTTTTAGTAAACTTTTAGCGAAATTATTATTTTTTTAACAGCGAATTAACAGAGATAAAAATAAATGTGCCATTTTCGTTTGATGGTTGGAGACCTTGAATGTCATGGCTGAAAATCATTTGCAGGGGCACAAATACATCCATTCTTTGTGTTCTCTTAAAATTCATATCTTCTAAAATTCCTCATGACCTTCGTCTTCCTCTTCTCAAATTTATTTTACTGAATCATACTTCTCAAATGATATATTCGGGACCTAATCTTCCCCATTATTGCTAATACTTCTTTTACCTCGTACACTATGGGCGTTGCATATCTGTGTAAATGTGGTACGAACTCAGGGCCTTCGGTCTTGTGCGCGAACGCAATTATCTGTAATCACTAGTGGCTGTCTTCGTGACGGGTCTTTTCCGAGTTCGAGTGGGAAGCCGTGACCAGTGAACTTCAAGCTGTTCGGTTGTAGACAGTAACTACCAAAGACTGTGTATGAGGTTGCGCAACTCCGTGAATTATCTCACAGAATAACACGAACTATGAACTGACAATTTATATAAATATTTCTCTACAGTTGCTTTTTCACTGATCGTAGATGTAGATAAGAGCAGGATCAATATATATCGTCAAGTTTTTCAGTATATTTTTTCCTACAAACTACTGGTTACTTTAAATAACGATAAATACAATTGATTGTACGACTTTGATAACTTAGTAAATTAAGTATTCTCCAGTATGATGTTTTTTTATCTTACTCCGAACATACTTATTCCTTTGGCGACATTTTTTAAACTGTCTTTCAGGTTTCCTGTAGATCGAGTTCTACAGAGTTTTTACTGCCTATCAATTCGACTTGATTGTTATCGGCATTCATTATTATCAACAATGATTTTACGTTTTATTCTTATTGATGAAGCAACCAGATATGAATTAAAGAAGATGATGATTTGATATGAACAAATTGATTTTACTATATAAGATGGTAAGGAGAATTAAGATGCACAGTTTATTCTATTTAGGACTCACCATCGAAATGTATCTTAAATCGAATATTGATATAACCACTAGCACATGTTGTTTCATGCACTACTTAAACAAATGTTTATTTAGTCCTAAATCAAGTCTGTTTTGTACACTTAAAAGAGACACTGACATGCACAGGCTATTTATTGAAAATGTGACCTAATCGTCTAAGCAAAATAGATTTATACTTAAGAATAGGTTGTTTACACCTGTTGATTCAGTAAGTCAATAAAAGCCTACTACTTGGTGTTCTGTTGAGGACGTTAGATCCCCAGAACTCGCTTGATAAATGCCTTATGTTCGCGAGCATGGGCTGATCAGTTGACCTTGAGATTTCATTTCCCACCAGGAAAATCCTTGGCTGTGATTGGCTGCTGTGTATTTTAGTGTGCTATTTTTGTGACTGTCCTAAGGACGTTTCTATGATGTATAAGTAAACGAGAGTTGTGCGCTTGATTGTATTGTGCTTGTTGGGCATTGTAGAATATACTTTCTACGCTTATCAAGACTTCTAGTTTGCAGTTTGGGGATCAAGGTAGCCTACCTGGACCTTGGTTCATTGTATCGTTCGCGTTTATCAACTAAGGTGAACTCGTAATAGCTTTAATCGTACCTAATGACGAACCTAACATTTTCTCACCCGTATAGCTGTATGAGGCATGTGTATAGAAGGCACATATTTCAGTAGTAGGCTGGAACGAATTCAAAGCACTGTAATGCAGAAAACTTACTTTATGAAAATCGTTTGCATGTGGTGATCAAAGTTGTTACTATTTATCTAAAAATATTTCTATTAATGAATGATTGGTTAACATACGTTGTGTATCATAAAAAGCTTTGGACTACAGTTGAAGTAGAAGGTAAACCGTTAAGGAAGTTTGAATGGGAAGTTTAAGCAAAACTTTAATTACCAGGATAAATTCAAGATTATAACTAATTGTTTTTATGCACATAAGGGGAGTTTTAATTTACGAATACCCAAGGTTGCTATAAGCCTCAAAATTTGTTCTTCGACGTATCTGTACAATGTTTTGAAGGATGTCTTGATGTCAGTCCGACTGCATTTATGAGGTTGCATGTTTATGTGGACACATATACTAATAGAGGAGTAATCAGACGTCGCAATCAAGGATTATGGAACTTGCACCTGATTGGCTTCAAAATCAGAAAACTTTAATTGTCATGAGCTTAAAACATGATTAGTTCAACAATGCAGCTAGAATTGATACTTTTCAGTGATCGAATTGTAAAAAACACATTGAATAGAAAGCCAATTTCTTGCTATTTTACTATAAAAATTAATTTTTGAATCAAAACTCTGTGAGACTATCTAACTGTTATAGTATAATTTAACTCCTTACGCAGTCACAACTTATATTTTCTTGTAGTGAATATTTAGGACCGCAATGAATCAGCCTCAGTGAATAAAGTATTAGGCGTTCCAAACAAAAAGTTCTAAGTTGAAGTCTCTGTGTACATACCGACTCAATGATGCAGGTATATTCACCTGGCGGGTCCCGAAAGCGATGAAACACACGTTCTGTAATCCGTTCGTTATCAGTCATTATCTTTAGTCATTAAGGCTTTTTGAATATCCTCGACATAATGAATAAGTCTTATGTTAAACAAAAAATAATTGTGAACTAGCTGTAATCTTTGATCTGTTTAACAGACATTTCTATCAAACTTGTAATCACTGTTAAATAAGTTAATTGTTACGTCATCTGCCAATTAGTGGAAAATTTGTCCATTGTATAACTCTGAAAAAAAAAATGTATCGCTCTAATTCATTCTAAATAACTGATAAGACTACTGACCGGATATCGATGAACATATTTATCTTTCTAATGTATGTATGTATCTCTTACTGCCACTTGTACGAAGTCAGCAGAAAGAATTACTCAAATTATATTAGGTGAATTTAAAAGTGATGTGTTATTTGGCCAGAAAAAATGTTTCAATTATTCAAACTTATCGATAGAAAACGAACCAAACCATTTACACTTATAAGAAGAAAGCCTAGAAAGAGAATTGATAATCGTCTAGTTTTTCAACCTTGATAGTGCCAATCAATAATATGATTGGAGTACAATAAAAAAGTTTTCAAAAACTGAAACTTAGCTGTATTTCACTACTGTATTACATTGTACTAAAAAATTTTTAAACCTACAATTTCATTGGTTTACTTAAAAAGAGAATTGATATCAAATCAAGCTTTAAGAACTCATGATATGTGGAAGGTATTTACACACAAAATTATTACAAACTGACAGGGATAACAAAAAGCGCTTATTATAAAATATAATTCTGGTCAATAAAAGTTTCAACTCCCTCATTAAATCTGATAAAAGATGTTTTATCAAAACATGTTTAAATCAATCCTATGATTATTTCTCACTTTACTTGCTTACTTAGACCTGTTACTCTGAATGAAACATAGGCCGCCAACCAACATTCTCCAACCTACGCTCTCCAGGGATTACCTTTGTAGTTCAACCCAAATATTCATTCCTCTCATGTTTATCTCCATTTCTCGGCGTAATGTGTTGTTTTTACTTCCTCTTTTCCGTCAGCCTTGAGAATTCCAGGTGATGGCTTGTCTTGAGATGCAGCTAGGTGCTTTCCTCATTGTCTGTCCTATCCACTTCCAACACTTCTTCTTGATTTCTTCCTCCTCTATCAAACGGATCCGAAGTTAATAAAACACTTGTATCTTCCGCGTGATGGCGCACCAGAATCTCCAAGTTTCCTCTCCATACAGTAGATTTGTCTTAACAATTGTATTAGAAATTGTGTCTTTGTTGTTGTTTGATAGTTGTTTTGAGTTTCAGATGTTGTTCAGTTGTAGAAATGATTCTCTTGCTTTACCAATCCGCAACTTCACATCTGAATCAGACTGACCTTGCTCATCAATTATGCTGCCATGATATTTAAAGGTTTTTAGCTACTCCAAAGTTTCTCCATGAAGTATAATTTGGTTGGTGGCTGCTGTGCTGTATCGGAGGATCTTGCTTTTCTTTTTGTGTATGTTGATACCTGCTAAGGTTGCTGCCACACAGGTCCTCCTCTTGTACATTTGTTGTCGCTTGTGGAGTAGAACAGCCAGATCGTCTTCGAAGTCTAGATCATCCAGTTGCATCCCAGCTGTCCAGTGTATCCCATGCTCTCTTTCACTTCCAGTTGATCGTTTTGTTCAGGAATAAACTTCAACATTTGTATTTAGTCATCAGGCACAACTGATTAGAATTTTATTTATCAACTGACCATTACAAACAACTATTTTGAAAACATAAATGATACTTACTTTTAATAGTTTGTTTCAATTTTACATTTTCACTCAAAGATTTACAAGTTGGCAGCTTTTTACTCTCTTGAAAATTACTAACATCTTCGGAAGATTTGATTTTTTGTACTTCGATTTGTGTTCGTTGATGATCATGAATTGAATTGACTGAAGTGTTATTGATTTTTGATGGAGGCGGTGGCGCTGGTTTACGTCCACGACCTACAAAATATAGAAAAAAGTAATTAAACCTAAACAAGTCAATAATTTAGGGAACAATAATAATAGGAACAATAATAATCAGAGTGTTGAATATAACTTTTAGCGAATTTCTTTTACCAGTTGTGAAATTACCAAATTAATTCATTCAATCATTTGAAAAGTAAGAAAACGTAATAACAAAAGAAATTCTCTTTCCGATGTTAGCATTCTCTGGAATTGTACAATCGTATTTATAGGTGGTAATGTTTGATGTAGCAATCTCCAGTAAAGTAGATTTTTAAAAACTTATGCTAATCAAACACATTGAAGTGGAGAAGACAGTGAAAATGAAATAGTGTTGCGTAATATAGTCAAGATTACCAAAACGTTTCAAGTATTGAATATCACAGTAATAGCAATTCATAAATGGAAGAATGTTACTGCAAGGTAATTAATTTTTTGTCAAGAATTGAATAAAAAGGCAGGTTACATCATTTAGCAAACTACTCAAGAATCACTAACAGCTTGCGTTACGTAATAGTTTTATTATTAGTAGTAGTAGTAGTAGTATTGGTATTATTATGTTAGTTACTAATTATATGATCCTTTAATTTAAGTTAGCCAGTAGATGTAACTCAGTCAGTCAGTCAGTTACAATGTACAACTTCGTTCGTTAGCACATCATTTCAGGTTGCCATACCGCATTATCATAGACACGCAACTATCAGTTTAAATCACACAGTGGTGGATATAATAGAAGAATTAGCGTTAACGGAGAATATTAAGGATCGTAGATATTATCCAAAAAGTATGGTTCATGGAGATATCTTAAGAAATAAAAAGATAGAAATGATGAGGAATTCTGAAGATTAGATTGTGAAAAAGAAAAAACAATGGATACACCGGCGCCATGTCATTCAAGGTCTCTAAAAATCGGTGACTTTCGCCTCGCGGACCCCTAGCAGGTAGCCTACATCTACCAACATCACTCAGTCCACTTGTTCGTGACATCATGGGTTTCTGCCATGTTTTAGTTTGGCTGCCCCTGACTTTCTCCCAACCTACTCCTACACAACGAAACATAGCTAGTCGCGGCAGTCAGTGGTTGGGCATACGTAACACGTGTCCCAACCACCTCAACTGGTGAAGTTTCATCACTTCATCTATTGATTTGCCATCCTTACCTAAGACCCGTTTTCTAACTATAGCACTGCTTACTCGGTTGTCCCAGCATATACGAGCAATGCTTCGAAGACAGGGAATAGATATAACTAGTTGAAACTTGATCATACATATTTTTAATAGTAGTAATAATTATTTTTTAGTTGTTTTTTTAGTTGGCTTCAGTATGAATCCTAATACTTGTTGACTGTTTCATTGACATTTCAAATATAAATTTAACATTAACCGAATGGATGAATTGTGTTAGACAGTGAAATAATCCTTTGTTCAAAAGTCTTGTTTGTCAAAATTGTCACTAAATCTTCTCAGTGTTGATGTCAGCATTGAGCTCTCAAAGCAATACCCACGGTGTGAGTCTGTTTTCGCCAAATAATCGATTATGCGATGAAATAAATCTTCCCTTCAATTTCTGTATATCATGCTTAGGCGAACTGTATTTGTGCGATGGTCATAATAAGAAGCCAAATGCAGATTTAGTTGAATGAGTTTATTTGATGCAATCGTTCACTTTGATAGGCAATGAGAATAAAAGACGTTTACAGCAAAACAAAACGTAATAGAGAAGGCGACTGAACCAACTCAATGCAGTAAGGTATGATAACAAGAGGCTAGACATGTAATAAGTGAAGTAAGTAATTTACACATGCATTTAAATAAAAATAATCAGAATTATAAGCGAATGATTAACAAGGTCGAAGGTCATGCGAATAAGTAACAGTACTAGAAGAATGGATTAATTAATTTGTTCAATGGCCTGGACAAACCCTATGTGCTCGACCTATTTGTACATACATTAACAGTATGATATATATGTGCATCATATTATTGACTGCTGGGTTATATTCCCCTAAATAAGCTTAAAAGTTAGATAAACATAATTTCCAACTTAGTGTCTTTTATATTAACCAGTCTCTTAACTATAATCAAATCATTCATACAAATTTAGATCAAAGTTCATCAGATTACCACTATTTGTCCGATTTATCTCATCGTTCCTATTCAAGAGGCCTTATTTTGGTCAGTACTTGCTTGTAAATGTGCATTCTATGCGTTCTCATTTATAAATTGGAAATTTGAATTAACGAAGAAATATTTCATTTCAAACTGGTATTTTGTGATGACTTTGAACATTTAAATATAAAACTAAGACCGTATAGTTAGATTGTAAATCGATTGGTTGACTATAATTTTCTATCAATATACCGATTGGTTATAAATTCAACAGAACTACCGGATTATTGTAAATAACTATATTACAGATAAGACAGTTGAATGATAGAAATAAAATCTTAAGTAAAAATGAGTTATAAGCATTTGAAATAATCTCACTAATTAATTAAACAATACAATTTTCATCAAGCAGCCGGTGGTTGGGACATGTGTTGACACCAACCACTGACTACTTTGTCGAGTTATATATTGTGGTGTATGTAGTAGTAGGTTGGACGAAAACTAGGAATGGCCAGATCAAAACATTGAACAAATTCATGAAGTCACTCACAACTGCACTGAACCATGTTAGTAAGTGTAGACTACGTGTATACTACATGAACAATAGTAACCGATGATTAGAGACCTTGATTGATATAACTGAAAATCGTTTGCAATGGCGCAGGCGCATCTATTGTTTGTCTTCTCTCAAATTCTAATCTTCTGAATTCCTCATCACCTTTATATTTCGCTTTTTAAGTTTGTTTCACTGGATTATACTTCTAGAATAATATATTTGATACCTAATCTGTACGACTTCTGCTAATACTTCTGTTACCTCTACCACCATAGGGTTTGAGTCGACAGTTCGATCTCTTAAGTTAGAGTACTGGAGATTTGTATTTTTACACATTTGAAGTCATCAATCAATCATTGTTAGACCACCATTAGAAACCTGGAAGCACTGGACGGCCGTTTGGTCCTGGTATGGGAGTCATCAGCAGTGCGCATGCACGACTCCTGCACCTTGCAGGATTGGAACCCGGGACTTTCGGTACTGTGCGCGAACGCCTAATCATCGGACCACTGGGCTAGCATCCAACGGTGTTAATGTCTAACTCTGATCGACCTAGGGATTTCGCGTGACCTCACCCATTTGTCTTTGGTAGTTACTGCCTACACCCGACAGGGTTGAACTCCATTGGTCACGTCTTCTCAACTAGAACTCCGGGAATTTCCTCACGAAGCTAGTTACTAATGACCACATGTTACGATATGTTCAGTTAGAGTCTTGGAGGTTTGTGTTTTTACACATTTTTTAATCATCAATCAATCATTCTTAGAGTCCCATACCAGGACGAAACGGCCGTCCAGTGCTTCCAGGTTACTAATGGTGGTCTAACAATGATTGATTGATGATTTCAAATTCGATCTCTGTGTGCTAATCTGGTACGGCAAATTGAACTGATGTATTTACGTATGTACGAAGTTCTACATTGTGGCTGACGCATTAGGCAGCTAGAATTGCATCTGAATATACAAAAAATAAGATACGCATTATTAGTAAATATTAGGTGGAATATGTTAATAGTCTAATTACCTTTGTGTAAAGCTTCTACAGATGAATTAGAACTCGCAGAGTGCTCTATACTTTCGTTGCATATAACATGTTCATGTTGTTGCTTTACTGTACTAGCCGTTTTATCATTTAATGTCTTTGGAATTGCATGAAAAGAATTTTCCGCTTCCATCACTTCCGCAGGACAAACAATATGGGATGAATACAGCGGACTGGTATTCATATTTCTTAACTTTTTACCTTCGTTTTCTAATGTACACGTATGAAATAATTGTTCTCCTTCATTTATTGTCTCATTTTCTAATCGGTTGTAAAGACCCACATTTTTGTATTGATCAGTGTATCTGACAAAATGAAATAATTATTTAGAGAGATATTTTGCTTTTAAGAAAGTATATTTCCTATAAAATACAATTTTCTTTTCATATATTTTGCATAAAAGCGTTGTAGAGATTGTTGAGTTGATTTTTGAAATCATGAATCGATGAGTGATAGAACATCATTAGTAACCTGGAAGAATTGGACGGCATTTTTGTCCTGGTATATGATTAATCATCAGTGCGCATCCATGACTTCTGTTACCCGCAGGATTGAGATATAGGACCTTCGGTCTTGCGAGCAAACGCCTGACCTAGAATATGGAGAAACTTCCTCATGGAGCTAGTCATTAGTGAGCACATAATAATTTGTATGCAAGCGTTGTGGAGACAATACCGTTGGAGTCCGGATGAGTGACCCAGAGTTTGGGCGTTTTCATAAATTTATTTGTATGCCATTAAAGTAACATTTTTTGGAAAACCAATGAAATAAATTGTCTTCCGATTACTCATCTCAAAATATCCAACTGTACTGAAACACGAGCACATTATCACTCACAAAAAGTCATACACTGAAAGATTATGAAGTTCAGTTTCTCTGAATGATTATGTT